TAATATATATATATATATATATATATATATATATATATATGTATACTTTTTAATTAAAACCTGGCAGAAAATAATAAATGTACGTCAAGTTCGATATTATTAAAGTGGTTATTGGTAATATGAAATTAATTGCGATACTTCAAGATTTCGTCCAATTTGTAGACAATATTTTATTAAATAAAATACATATTTTGCATTTATACAAAAATAATAAAAGATTATTGTAAAACATTATAATAATAAATAAATAACAGAAGAAGGAGGTAGGATTTACATATTATTATACGCGTATTATTATGATAATTGAATTTAACTTAAAAAAAAAATAAATAAATAAAAAGGTAGAACTTGTAATTTAATTTTAACACAATAGAAAGTTTATTATTTATTTGTAATTTTCTTTCTACGTAATGTTACACGGAAAAGCAAATATAAAAAATTAATAGAAAAGAAAACATTTTTGGTAGGATCTTCACAACTTCGTTGAATTGTAAAAGTAACTGGGCAAATAAAAAATTCGAGAGAATAAAAGCACGCGATATGCAAACAACGCACGTGATACATGCATCATTCAAATAGGAAAACGTTGTCAGAAAAATGATTTCCGATATTCCGAATCATAAAAGAAATAATAGAATATATCTATATTACATAAGACAATGTGACACGTGATAAACATTGCTTTCACCTAATATAGAATTTCTATAACTTCAAAAACAAGATTGATTGAAGTTACAATCTATAGGTTTCTTCTCGATGAAATTTGCTTTCAAAAGACGACAAAATAATAACTTTTTTATAAAGATTAAACATATCTTAAAATATAAAGAGAATTTTTTTGGTTTTGTTTAAATTTAATAAATTATATAAAAATAATTAGTGTAAAAATTCATGTTAAAAGTTCGATTTTTAAAAGATCATTTGGAAAGAAACATAACCGTGTAGAAGTATCGAATTTGCAGGAATGTTGTTCGGTAATTTTAAATATTTTTAAATATATAATAAACTTTATACAAAATTGAATAGTCAAAAAAATAAGTTAAAGTAAAAATGCGTGTTAAAAGTTTGATTTCTTGTAGAAAATATTTTGTTAGGAAACATAACCGAGTAGTTGAATAATATCAAATTTGTACTAATGTTTCCTGGCAAGGTATAAGATTCGCATAATAAGCTTTTAAAGTCACCATATGCACAGTAAAAGGTGCGGTGAGTGGAATGGGTAAGCTTCAATCGGATGTGCTTTTATCGATCCCTCGAAAGATTAAGATTAAAACTTAGCCAAGTTCCTTCTTGCTTCTTCCCTCAGAAACTCGGGAATGAAACTTTCTTATTCTTGCTCGAAAGATGGAAAGCTTTTGGAAATCTTAATGAAATTTATTGTCCCGATGACAATAATAAGAATGTTCGTTGAGCCGACACAAAATGCAATTCAGACTATTTTGAAATAAATTATTTGAATTGTCTTCTTTCTCTCTCGCTCTCTCTTTCATTATCAATTTAAACAACCTTCAAACACCTACACTTATTTGACTTTTATTGATTGGTAATTCTTATATTTAGTTGATATTTATATTCGTTATTATTTATTTTTTACTATTATATTATTAACTTTATATAGAATTTATATATTATTTAATCTGTTTGTTTAAACAACCCCCACTTCCGCCCACCCATTAATAATCTATATAAGTATACTACAATAAATACTACATGTGCTAAATATAATTATATATTAAAATTAGGAAATAAATTTAATAGATTAAGTTATTAAATTATATAAAAATTAATAAATGAAAATTTTTTTAATCTTAATTTTTTAATTTAAAATTTAAAATATTTTTAAGAAAAGAAAGGTTATATCGTAAAAAAGAAAAAACCAATGTTAAACATACTTTTATTCTTTAGCTATGAGCTAAAATAAACTACTATTACAACTATATTATTTTTATATTTCTAACATTATTTAAATAACATATAATATTTATTATATCTTATATTTTTTTTATCCTTTTTTTTATTAATTCTGGAAAAAATATGATAGATAAATGATTAAAGTTAAAAGGAATAAACATTTGATCGTTCTTATTCATGACATCCATAACTATACAACTTAGTATGATATAATCCAAGTAAATTCAACTAGTAAGCGGTCTTTACCGGATATCTACTCGGACTGAATGCAGCTGACAAGAGTTCGATGTCAAAGGGGTTATCAGTAGACTCATGTGTGGTATGTCTACTCTTAATTATACTGATATCTATACGACGTCAAAGTCTTTGTGGTTGTATTACACGTGTTGTTACTCTTTGAGTACAATTTTTTCTACATATTTGATTAAACCTTTTGTCGTTTCAAAGAATCATTGCTAATACCTGCATACGTGTAACCTTT